GAAGAAGAAGAAGAAGAAGAAGAAGAAGAAGAAGAAGAAGAAGAAGAGAGTCTGGCAGACAAATGGTGGATGGGCCAGTCTGGGGAAAAAAATGTAGAAATCTTTTTGAAGAAAAAAGGCCTGGAGACAAAGGATGGAAGGAAACTGAGGTAGAAACACAATGAGATTATGGAGCATAAGAAATAGAGATGGAGTTGCTAGCACAGTAATCTGGTCTCCAGGTTTCATTAAGGATTATTAAGACTTTCCCAGGAGCAAGAAAAGAGACTCAGGAAATGTCTAGGCTTTAGCTTTAAGCTGTGTTTTGCACAGTTATTTTGAAACAGGCAAGATAGCTTTTCAAATGACCACATCCTCTTTTTCAGATGATCCAGATGACTTTATATGACCACTTCCTGTCTATGTTGGCCTGGAAAAATAAAAGCCTTTCTCAGAACGGGCTGTCAGTCACAATCAGCCAGTTTCCAGCATGGCAGAGGTAAGGAGAAAATGGGGAGATCTTAATGGGAAATCTTCATTTGGGCTACCATGACCAGAAAGCACTAGGAAAGGAATGTCAAGAGGCTTTAGCCATCTTGGCTTAAAGTTTTCTGAGCAGGAGGGATGAACACAGGGGCCTTATAAATTTGAAAGGGATCTCAGAGCTGGAAAGGACCTTAGAAGTTACCCAGTCTAATCCATTCTCCAGAGGAGGGAATAGAGGCTCAACAAGGTTAACTTGCCCAAGGCAACACAGATACTAAAAAGCAGATTTGAACTCAGGTTTTCTGACTCCAAACTTGGTGCTCCTTCTCCTCCCCCTACCAATGCTTGCTGCCTGAGCTTAAGGACAAGATTCATGCCTATTGTAGAAGGAAAGGGGTGTTCAGAATGCTCTAGCTCAGTCACCCCCAGCTCTTGTGTGTCCCTCATTTTTGTCCCACCTAATTCCCTACACTTCTGCTGATGTCCCCTGAAGTTCTCTCTCTCTCTCTCTCTCTCTCAAACACACACACACACACACACACATACACGTTCTTACCCCTATGTCATTCTAAAGCCACTCTTGCCTGGGATTAGCTAAGGCCTGGGTAAATATCACTGGCATGAGGTAGGGAAAACAAGGCAAGGACAGAGTGCCATCTGCTGGAAGGATTTGAGCTGAATCCTATTTGTCAAGTCAAATCCTATTTAAATCAAGTCACTTAACTTGAAAATAATCCACAAAATGGTGCCTCTCATACTTGGGGCAGTCCATAGCCGTGAACCAATAAAAATTCACATTCATACCCTCAAGTGTTCATATGGACCTATGATAGCATCCATTTCCATTAGATTTTGATCTGCCACATCCAGAGTCAAGTCAACAAGCATTTATTAAGTGCCTACTATGTGCAAGGCATTGTGCTAAGCACTGGGAATATCAAGAAAGACAAAAAACAGTTCTTGCTGTCAAGGAGCTTACAGTCTAATGGAGAAGACAACATGCAAGCAAATGTATTCAGAATAAACAGGAAATAAATAATAGAGGGCTGGAATTAAAAGGGGTTGGGGAAGACTTCCAGTAGCAGATGGGATTTTAGCTGTTAGCCAGAAAGGTCAAAAATCAGAGCAGAGGAGGGAGAACATTCCAGGCATGGGGAGATAGATCTAAGTCTCAAAGAGTAAGACAGATTGACGGGGAAGACAGATCGAGAAGTACATATCAAAGAGTAAGGTATAAGAAAACTAGTAAGGTAAGGGGGAGCTAGGTTATGAAGGGCTTTGAATGTCAAAGAGAGCATTTTGTATTTGATCCTGGAGGCATAAGGAGCTACTGGAGTTTATTGAGTAGGAGGACGACATGATCGGACCTGTGCTTTAGGAACACCACTTTATGGTTGAATGGAGGCTGGATTGGTGTGGGGAGAGGCTCAAAGCAGGCAGACCCAGCAGCAGTCTGTTGCAGTCATCAAGGTTTGAAATGATGAGAGCCTTCGATACAGTGGTGGAAGTGTCAGAGGAGAGAAAGAGATGGTACAAAGGTAAAATTGACAGGCCTTGGTAACAGCTTAGAGAGGAGTCCAAGATGACTCCTAGGTTGTGAGCCTGAGGGACTGGGAGGATGGTATTGCCTTCTACAGTGATAGGAAAGGAGGAGGTGAGGAGGCAAGGAGGGTTTAGGAGAAAAGAGAATGAATTCTGTTTTGATATTGCATTTCAACCTTTGTAAAATATACATTTACTTTTTAAAAAACGTTATATTGGCATGTTCTGTTATTACATACAAACATTTACAGATTGCTTCCACTCTGTGATCAGTCTCTTGTACCAATGTAAGACAACTAGCCAAAACCAGCAGTACAGTAACCTCATGTGAAAGGGTACACAGCATTCCACATCTGTAGCAGTTCCCAACATATTTTTTAAAAATTTTTTAACATAAATTTATTTTCTCTCCCTTCCACTCTCCACCTCATTGAAAAAAAGAGAAAAGATAAACAAATTCCTTGTAATAAATATGCATGGTCAAGCCAAATGAATTCTTTCATTGACTGTATCCAAAAATGCGTAACTCATCCCACACCCTAAATTCATTACCTCTCTGAAGGAGATGAATAGTATGTTTTATCATTCCGTCCTCTGAAATTATGGATGGTCATTATAAAGATCATAGTTCTTATACCTTTCAAGTTGTTACAATATTATGATTATTCTATAAATTGTTCTTCTGTTTCTGCTCATTCCATTCTTCATTAGATTATAAAATTATTCATTTTTATAATATGAATCTTCTATTATTTGGCCTTCCTTAATTAATGGGTATCCCTTTAGTTTCAGTTTTTGCCACCCCTCCAAAAGAACTGTTATAAATATTCATGTGCATATAGAATTTTTTACTATTTTTTAATATCTCTTCTGGGTAAAGACCTAGCAGTGCTATAGCTAGGTCAAAGGGCATGTGCTGCTTTGTTTATAATCCCAGATTTCAAGCTTACAGTTCCCTATTTTGTCTCATCTAATGTTTATGATCCCATGTTCATTGAACAGGCTTATTATTTCTGTTATAATATCTTTTAAGGAATCTTGAATGATTTGGAAATATGGACGGAAGATACTACATTGGAAGAGACTTTAAGGTAGGATTCTGCTCTACTGAATCATGTTTTTTTTTTCCATTGGAAAAAAAAATCAAGAATAAAGGAGCCACTTTCTTTTTGGGAGGCACAGTGGAATCTAATATTTACTACATCTTTCAGTTCATTGTGAAATGATAAAGAGATGTGCTCCCTTGTTGAATATTACTTGCAAAAAGCATGCTTGTTCCTACTAATACCCTTATTGAATATGTTCTCAATGTGTCTATAGATGACTCTCAAAAAGACATTGTGTAGCTAAGAGAAACTAGGTGATGCTGTGGATAGAGCATCAGGCCTAGAGTCAGGAAGACTCATTTTCCTGAGTTCAAATCTGGGCTCAGACACTTACTAGCTATGTGACCCTGGGCAAGTCACTTAATCCTGTTTGCCTCAGTTTCCTCATCTGTAAAATGAACTAGAGAAGGAAATGGCAAACCACTCCAATATCTTTGCCAAGAAAACCCTAAATAGGGTCACAAAGAATTAGACATAACTGAACAACAACAAAATGGATGTAAGAGTGGATCAATAGTTGGTAGATGACCTTTTTTTTTTAACATGAATGAAGTCCAAGGTTTGGGGTTTTTTTTAAGTCTTTGATATCTTCCCCTGTTACAGATGACATATGTCAATCCCTCAATATCCTGACAACTGTGTCATCTTCAGCACAGGTCTCCTTTATATACATTAGTCCACAATGGCTGTTTTCCCCATTTTGTTTCTCTTTGTTCATTTCTGTTTACCCTTTAAACACATTTGAGACCTAAACTTCAAATATAGCAGTCCCACTGCCTTTTATGGTAAAAAGTTTGTTATAATAACCTCTGCAGTTCCCTTCCATTCATATTTTTTTTTCTATAACCCCTGTCCCAAAGTTGATTGGTATGGGCCTGTTTCCTTATTGTGGGAGATGAATGCTCTACTCTATTCGAGGGGTGGGGTGGAGTTGGTGAGAGCAGGACATCCTTGGGCTTCTTCAATCCCTTTCAGGACTCCTCAAGGTTCATAGACTCTTCAAGTCATTTCTGGCACTTCTGGTTTCCAGCTTCAAAAGGGAAGGTGGAAGAGGCCAATGCCACTTCAGGTTGCTGAAGGAAAATACCCTAGAAAATATGAGTGGAGCTGGCAGTCTCCATCACATCCCTGTCCCCAGCTTGCTACCCTAGAGGCTGTGGAGTTTTCCCTTGGGAGAGATCTAGAACCCTCTCTCTTTGTTGAGTTGTGCTATCTCGCCCAATGGGAAAGCTGTTTTACTCTGTATTATCCTGTGTATGTTCTCCTATGTGTACTTTCTCTGATTTCTGTTTTGCTATGATTTGAATAAATGAGTTTCTGTGCTATTCATTATGTGTGTTCATTGTGGAACTGATATTTGGTGGGAAAGGAGTCAAGCCTTAGATGTAGAGTTTGGGGTTCTCCTCCCCCCGAGTAATAGAGATTTGTTTAGATGAATCTCTTGCCAAGCTTTCTTTAATCTAGTTCTTTCCTCCACTTCTCCTTGCTTTATAAGTTTGTACTGCTTATAAATGTCCATCATTTTTCTCAAGTTTTTACAAACAAGTTTATATTCTAAATTGGTTTTAACTTTGGCCACCATCTCTCCCCTCTTGACAAGGAAGTCAAAGCTTGTGTCTATTGGTGATTGTTAAGTTCACAATGAAAAGTAAAATAAAATAAGAACAAGTAACTCAAATATTTGCTGACTAGGGTGTTTTCTGAGCTCTTCTGGAATTGTGATAATTAATTTGCACTGCTTATACTGCTGTATGAAATCATAATCAGTGGTAATGTCATTTCCAATACCCATTTTTCATGGTCAATTTCCTTTTTAAATAGTTCAGAATTGCATCATTTGAATCGTGTGTCACATCTTTTCCTCATTATTACTCTTTGGTTTTTGTGGAAAGTGCTTCATAGCTCTTCACAGATTTGCCCCTTCTTACCTTTCTAGTTTCCTTACACATTACTCCCTTCTATATGCTCTACAGTCCAGCCTCCCAACCAGGCCACTTCCTACCCATGCCCTCTTTCCACTTCCCCAGCTTCCATTTTCACAGAGCACAGGGGTAGAGAGGGCGAAAGAGAGAGAATAGCTACACAATGCCTTCTGGAGAAAGGGAACCTTGACAGCTCAGTTCTAAATCCATTGTTTTCCTTTCTCCTCACAACCTAATTGCTTTTTTTTTTTTGGCTATCATCTATTTCTGCCTCTTTACATCTCCAGATATCTTTTCAATCCTCTGCACTTGAGTTCAACAGATCCCAATGTTCTTACTGACCCCCTTCTCCTCTGGCCCATCTCCCATTTTGAATGGTGACTAGGAAGCTAGTAGTTTATTCATCATTAGCCTTCAAGATACAGATAGGAGTTGGAAAGCAGACTATTAAGCCAAATCCTCTTTGAATTAGGGCTTGAACCTCCATTTCCCAAGCTGGAATAGAAGGGAAGAACACAGATAAAAGGTCCCCCATTTGACAAGGAAGGGATCAGATATACCAGATGGACCACGCGGAGCCAAGGGGCCATGACTATTGTAACAGGTTTGGTATATGTCCAGACCACCTAAAACGGCATGACTACATGAGACACTTAGGACCTACTCCGGGGAGAACTAGTAGATGTACAGACACTCAGGGTTGGCCCATCATGCTTTTGGGAGCAATCTTTTTCCATTGGTTCTATAAAAAGAATTATCTAAGTCCAACCAAACAGACAATCTGTCTGTCTTTCCCACGTTCATGTCTAGGGATGCAGGACAGAAGGTGACATCCTTCAGCAAAAGGGAAGGGCCTGAGGGCCATTACTTCCCTCCTTAATTAGAAGCACCAAGTGACTATAAGAGGAACCTAGAAGTAGAAGATAAGTCTGGATCAGAAGCATGAGTTGGTATAGGATTAGGCAAATTTTCTGATGCCAGGAGAAGGCAGAAAGTCTGAATTAAACATATGATCCAATACAATTTATTAACAATTGTGAACCTGTGACCTTGATTCTGGTTTCTGGTTTCCTCTAAACTTTAGCCAGAGCCTTTGACAAGTTAGGGAAGTCCTCAAAAATGGTATGCTCCTCCATCAATATGGTTTTAATGCAGCTGAACCTGGAGATGGGGAGAAAGACTGGATGACCAATGGATGGCCCTATCAACTTTCAGATTTCAGTGGAAAGAATACAAACCAAAGAGTCTCAAATCTGACACCAACTGGCTATGTTATCTTCTTTTATTTTGGCTATGTTATCTTAAAGAAAGTCGCTGCACCCCATTCCATGCACCCCCTGGGCTTCAAGCTCATCCTCTGTAAAATGAGCAAACTGGATCCTAGGTCCTCAAAATTTCCTTCTAGATCAAATGTTCTGTGACTCAATGACTACAAGAGCTATGCTGTCAGTGATTAGCATTGTGTCCTCATTACCAAGAAGAAAAAACAATAAGTTGCTCCCTCTGGTGGTTTATTGGTGAATCACCTCTCAACATCCTTTCCAAAGAGATAAGAACTGGGTTTGGGAAGATCACAGGATCATAGATATAGGGCATAGATGTAGAAAGGACATGGGAGGGCCAGTTAGTACAACACACACACACTTTATAGATGAGGGAAATAAGACCCGGGGAGTTTTTAAGTGCTTTGCCCAAGGTCACACCAGCAGTATATTGTAGATTTTCATGCATCAGGTAGAACCCTAGACTAGATTCTCAGTAACAACGAAGAGTGCCACTTTTGGTTCAGCCACCAGTTTCTTCTTCTTCTTGGCATTGATCTTTTTTCAACATTGACTGAAGATGAGTTGATTCATAGGTGGAGAGACCCTTAGCAGGTGTGGAGTTACTTTTCCCCAGCAGAGATTTTTGATATTTTTTTTTACATGGAGGATTCATTTCTCTCCCTTGGAAAATCATAATTCCATAGGGCCCATTTCATAATCTCCTGCTTTGTTCCAATGACACTTTTCTTGGAGCTCATCTTCACTGTGAAGGGAGCTTCTCGTTTAGTTAGAGGATGGAGGAAGTAATTGGGGCAAGAACACGTACTTTATGGATGTCATTTTAACTATGGTAGACATGTTTTGGTTAGCTTGCTCACTCTAGTTTTCAACTTCCAATACTCAGGCCCCGCCACAATGGTCACTGGAGGTCCCATATCACCGTCATGATACACCTTTCAAGATGGCACTCTAATAACGGGAGCATCGTTCTCATATGCGGTGTTCACTAAGAGAAAGATTTCAGTTGTCAAGTTATCTACTGAGCTAGCTTCTCCCAAGGTAATCTCCTCAAAGAAAGAAAGTGAGTTTTAATAATGTTTGTCTCCTTCTTGAAGCCTAGCACATTGCCTTACACATAGTAGGCACTTAATAAATGCTTGTTGAATTGAAATTGAATCTTAATAAGAACGGCTGTCATTTGTATAGTATTTTAGGGCTATAAAGTAGATTAACATACATTATCTCATTTGATCCTCACAACCTTATGAAGTAGTTGGTACACATTCCATCAGCTCCATTTATTAGAAGAGTTAAATCATCTGCCCAAGGCCACACAGTTAGCAAACAGTAGAGCTGGATTTTGAACCTATATCTGGTTCGAGAAGAGACTTGGATTAGGATCAGGTATAAGCCTCTGATTCAGAGACAACAAGGCTTAATTTAACAAACAGTCCGTGTCAATCTTTCACATTCTACATCTTAGTATAGAGGCAACTAGGTTGCATAGTGGATAGAGTGTCGGGAAGACCTGAGTTCACATCTGGCCTCAGACACTTACTTATTAGCTATGTGACCCTGGGCAAGCCACTTAACCTCTGTGTGCCTCAATTTTTTTTTCATCTATAAAATGGGAATAATAATATCACCTCCCAGACCATATGTTGTGCAGATAAAATGAGATACTATATATGAAGTTCTTGCAAATCGTAACATACAATATAAATGCTAACTATTATTCTAGCTTGCGGGAGTAGCATCAGCAACATCATCTTGGGGGAAGGGAAGAGGCCAAACCTTCATTCCAGCTACACCTAAACGTTGAATTCAGCTTAGGGAGACTTTTGTGAGAAATAGCCGTCTCTAAGCAGTGGGGGGAACTAAGAGAAAATAAGTAACATGTGTGGAAACACTGGGAAAGGGGGAGGCCATTCTGGGACTAAAATAGAAATCAAGGAGGGAAATGGGAGCTTATGTGGTCAAGTTGGGTCATTTCTACATTCACAACATTTTTCCTATATGTCTCCTTTCCATTCACACAGCCACCACCCTGATGGGCCAGGAAGGCCTGCACGCCTGGACTCTTCCAATGGCCTTCTGGCTGTCATCCTGCCTCAGGTCTTGCCCCACTTCAATCCATCCTCCACTAAAATGCCAAAGAGATCTTCCTAACACTCAGGTCTTACCATGTCATTTCTAATTTAAAAAAAAATTAACTCCAATAGATTCCTGCCACCTCTAGCATCGAGTATAAAATTCTTTGTTTGACTTTTAAAGCTCTTCACAACATGGCTCCTTCCCACCTCTTAAGAATGACCCTTCTAGGGGCAGCTAGGTGGCGCAGTGGATAAAGCACTGGCCCTGAAGTCAGTAGGACCTGAGTTCAAATCTGACCTCAGACCAAACACTTGACATGTACTAGCTGTGTGACCTTGGGCAAGTCGCTTAACCCCGATTGCCTCACTAAAAAAAAAAAAAAAAAAGAATGACCATTCTGGAGTTTCTTTGAGGAAGTGATTGAAGGATTCTTTCTGTTTTCTCTTTGTCTTCTTCTAATATGTCCAGGCAATTTTCTTTCAAGATCTCTTGAAATATAATATCCAGCCTCTTTTTTTTGGACATGGCTTTCAGGTAGTCCAGTGATTCTTAAATTAGCTCTCTTGGATCTCTTTTTTAGGTCAATTTTTTTTTAATATGAGATACTTTACATTTTGCCTATTTTCCCCAATCTTTTGATTTTATTTTGATATTCTTCATTGTCTTATGGAGCCATTAACTTCTGTTTGATCCTTTTAATTTTTAAAGAGTCTGTCACTTTGATAAAGTTTTGTACTTTTTATGCTAAGACATTAATTTTTAATGACTATAATTATGTGAACCAAAAACAAACAAATAACAAAAATGCAGCTGAATTCAGATCAATTGCAATGACTAATCTTGGTCCAGGTCAATAGATGATGAAAAACATACTTCCCTCCTCCCAGTAGAGACAGCTAGGGGTCACAGTGGATAAAGTGCAGGACTTAGGAGTCAAAAGGACTTGAGTTTGAAGCCTGCCTCAGACACTCACTAGCTTTGTGCCTCTGATAATCACTTATCTTCTCTGAGTTTCAGTTTCCTCATCTGCAAAAACTGGGGTAGTAAGAACATCTCTCAAAAGGCTGTTGTGAGGATCAAGAGAGATAATACATGTCTAACATTAGGCATAGTAGCTGGACACGGAGAGCTGTGGTCACTGTATCCACTCCATGTCCATTAAGGTTCCCCTTTCAGCTCTGGACCCACATGATAGATTGGCCTCTCATGAGAGGCATCAGGCTCCCTTTTTATACTTGGTTCATTACATCTCCCATCTTGGTGTCCTGGGTAAAATTGATTGAACCTTACGTTATTATTCATGGCCACATGTTCCACAAATGGGGGGAGGTGAGGGGGAGAGCACAAAAAGATACTCAATGTGCAATTTAAAACAAGTATGGGAGAGGTTTTTATTTCTTACATACACATAATAACACTGAAGGACCCCAAAGACTCACAGCATGCAGTAACAGAATTGGATTTAGTAACTTCACTTCTAACTATTGTTATGCTCTTATGGGAAGGTGATGTTTAAACTTAATTGGAACATAAGGACATTTCTAAGTCTGTTAATTAAGGATTCTGCATTGTACCTTGGTTATTTACTGCCCAAACAAGTCCTGATGCTTGCCTTCTGGCAAACTGGGAAAGGTTTGGAATCATCCTCTTGTTGGTGGTTATGTTGTTTAAGAAAGCTATGGTAGCTACTGGTGACTCCTTCCCTTGCCTCCAGTCAACTCTGTGCAAAAGGATCCAGTACTTTCGTACCTCCTGAACTCACAAGGTCACGTCTAAGCCCAAGGATGTCCATCTTGGATTTGATATTCATTCACCTAAAACCAGGAAAGGACAAACACAGAAGAGGTAGCACAAATCCAGGCTCCATCTTCCCCAGGTAGAGTATGTAATTTATCTGCCATGTGCTTGAAGCCACATGGTGGTCAGAGTAAAGGACAGGGCGAGTTGACCCCTCCCTTACCTCTCATAGGAAATAGCTTGACTGATCCAGAGCCAGAAGGGAAGAAAGCGATGAGGGTGTGGTCACTCCTTCTAAATATCCACTGAGTCATCAGCTCTTACTGTTCTGCAGCTAATAAAAGGTCTGCTTTATCATCTTGAAGCTCCAAGCCCTACACATTCATGTGACTTCTAGCCAGAAGCAGAAAGGTCAGCTCTGTACACTTCCAGAAATGGTCCCAATTACATATGTAAATAGCTTTTCAAATATTAAAGTCTATATTAATGCAAGCAACTATGTTTACCACAGGTGTGGAACGTTGCTTGTAAGGTTTTGTTGTGTTTTTGTCAGTCAGTTTTATTGAACTGTTCTTCTTTATTAAAAAGGAGGCTTCAATGACAGAGAGAGTATACCAGAAAATAACTTTGGTATAAAAAAAAAATAAAACTTTTAATTATACAAAGTATAATAATATGAGTTTTTCCCGCTCACCACCTTATTGAAACAAATCCTTTAAATCAGAGGGGTTCTTCTGAGTCAAAGCTATAAGAATACAAGTCATTCCCCAATTGATAAATGGTCAAAGGATATGAAAAGGCAGTTTTCAGATAAAGAAATTAAAGTGATCTGTAGTCATATGAAAAAATGCTCAATCACTGTTGATTAGCAAATCAAAACAACTCTGAGGTATTGCATCACACTCATCAGATTGACTAACATGACAAAACAGGAAAATGATAAATGTTGGAGAAGATGTGGGGAAAACTGGAACATTAATGCATTGTTGGTGGAGAACAATATGGAACTATGCCCAGAAGGGTATAAAACTGTGCATACCCTTTGATCCAGCAATACCACTACTAGGTCTATATCTAAGAGATCATAAAAAGGGAAAAGGACCCACATGTACAAAAATATTTATAGCAGTTCTTTTTGTGGTGGAAAAGAGTTGGAAACTGAGGGGATGCCCATGAATTGGGGAATGGCTGAAGAAATTGCGGTATATGAATGTAATGGAATACTATTGTTCAATAAGAAAGGGGAGCAGGAGGACTTTAGAAAAACCTGAAAAGACTTCCATGAACTGTTGCTGAATGAGATAAGCAGAACCAGGAGAACATTGTACACAGTAACAGCAACATTGTGCGATGATCAACTTTGTTAGACTTATCTCTTCTGAGCAATGCAACAATCTAAGACAATTCCAAAAGACTCATGATAGAAAATACTATCCACATCCAGACCAAGAACTATGGAGTCCGAATGCAGATGGAAGCATACTATTTTCTCTTTATTTTGTTGTTGTTTTTTCTTTCTCATGGTTTTTCCCTTTTGTTCTGATTCTTTTTTCATAACATGACTAATGTGGAAATGTATTTAATATGATCATACATGTATAGCCTATATCAGATTGCATGCCATCTTGGGTAGGAGGGAAGGGGGGAAATTTAGAACTCAAAATCTTATAAAAGCAAGTGTTGAAAACTAAAAATAATTACGTAGAGGGGTTTCTTTTGGAGATTTAGCCCACATTTGATTCAATTGTTGTTTTGTTGGTGATTTTTGTAAATGTTGTATTTATAGTAATTATAATTTTTTAAACAAATGAGCCTGTTACCTGGCTCAGACTAATTATATCCCAAGGTACTAAAAGAACTTGCAAAAGGACTCTTTGAGCTATTGTAGAGAATGGGAAATGTTCCAATTTTCTAAAATTGTCTTCTCAAGATAATGTGAATTTGGCATCTGCCCTGGGCAAAATTCTGGAATGTGTGACTTGAGAGCCCTTTAGAAAAGAAGCAGAAGTCACTAGAAGCCTAAGAATGGCTTATGCCAAAGCTCATTTATTCTCTAGTATGGTTATTAAGCTGGTCAATAAGAGGAATGTTATAGACCCAGTACACCTTGATTCCAACAAAGCACTTGACTTCTTTGCGGAAAAGATGAATGGATATAGGGCAGCTGTTAGAACAAAAAGATGGTAGAGCAGAGTAGAAAGAGCACTAGTTCTGGAATCAAAAGATCTGGAT